GAAATGTTTTGGCTGAATATACACTTTGGATTCCCTCTTGTTATAGCTCTTGGTAATTTTATTGATGTCTTATCTGCACATTAGTTCCTTGGTCTGGAACCCTGGTGCAGCCATTGTGAGAGTGTCCTACTCTTGCTGTTGTAGTGCTATTTTATATTATGGAGAATGAAACAAGAAGTTCCAGAACACACTAAACCAACAACCAAAACTCCCAAGAATAAAGATGGTAATCACAGCAGGGAGAACTTACCGTAGGAGTGTCCAAGACATATACAAACCAGTCAACCTGCAGCTAGTCATGTAATGACATTATTAATATGTTTAGTTTATTTGACAGCCATATTGGGAAGTTAAATGAGTGACACTGTCAAAAGTTTGTTGCTACACGAGTAAAATTTGTCACAAAAATACACTGTACTGTCACTAAAAGACAAAATATATAAACGTTCATGACAATGAGAAGTACTGTGACAAGTGGTGAAGACTCTGAGCAGCCTTCACCACTTGAGCAATGTGCAATGCCTGAGCAATGTGTTTAGCAAAATACAGTATGTATCCAGAACCTCTTGATCATGTGCTTCTTTAAATCCTTAAAATAAACTGGTGCCTGATGGTACAAGCCTTCTTGATTGGCTGTGTCATAGAGCAGGAAGGACATGGAAGAATGGAAAAGCTCCAAATGGCAGGAAACCCCCCCCCCCCCCCAAAAAAAAAAACACTTGACAGAAGTAATGGTAGTGTGGAAAATGAGTGAGTCCCCCTTGCCATTCTCCTGACTATCACTAATTCTGTAAACATTTGGTGGTTCATAGCAGGTTGGACATTTTCACTTTGTACAAAATAAAAGAGTTGAACCAGAACATTTTGTAATTATTGGTCTATGCTTCTTTCAAACACATAGAATGCCAGACTTTGTTTTTGTAGTTTAGATAACAAACACATACAGTAAATCATAGTAGTTTACTAGTGTACATTAGAAAGAAAACAACTTTTGCTTCACTTTATAATACCACTGATGTTAACAATCCAACAAATCTTTGAAAATAAACACATCCAGCCACAGACCAAATAATATTTATTACCAAAAAAGCATAAATATATTTTTTAAGGAATTTACAATTAATTTATAAAATGCCCAAAACGACAAACTGACTCTTCAAAAGAAAAAAAAAAGCAAGCATTGTTAGAAAAAAAGAAGCATGTTCTGCAGTGGTCATATACCATTATGTAGTATCTAAAATGGACAGCATATGTCATTTTTTTTCTTTTATTGTCGTCTTGAGGTCTATTGAAGTGACAGTACATTAAGCTTGTCCTGCAGGGTCTCTTCATCATCTGATTCACTTTCTCCTGCGCTTCTTTCCAGAGTATGCACTGGTGATCTGACAAGGAGCAGTCAAAATAGATCAAATAAAGCACCATCTCAAATAACAGAGGCCATGCTGTTCTCTTAAATGTGACTGTGGCTAAAAAGTGACCAACCTATCACATCTTTTCATGGCTATACATAAAGCTGTACATAGAATTGTAGTCTTACATCTGCCAATGCGTTCACTAGGTATTTGATCTCCCTTGTGCCAGTGTCAGAAACTGACTTGGATTTCCATTACACTCAAAACAAACTGTTATTAGGAACCAGAAGTCAGTCTTTTTGTTTAATTAGTGTTTGTATTTCCACTACTGTATATATGAACACAGTAATTAAGTACTCCATTTCCAAATCCTCAACCACTAGTCGTGCTATCAGCATACTATCTGCCATTAATATATGTGGTAGACAGTTTTTCCTACTTACACAAACTCTTGTCATAAACTAAACTCACAGGGATTGATGTAAACTTGGATTGATTTATGTAACATAGAGAACAATTGGAACTCTTGCCCATAGCAAACAATATTATTATTTTCTCATTGTCTTGGACAATAAAATATAGTATCTTATTAATTCATGTGGGCAATGGCTCGACTTTCTAACTTTTTATAAGTCAGCCTCACGGATTGAAGGATCCTCGAAACTGGTGTCAACACCATTGTTTTGCCAATAGTTAAAGCAGAACAAAAATTGTGACTAAAGTGCTGATGTTGGGACAGAAACAAACTAAAACTGGCACATGGATAACATGCACAACAACTAATACAAGGGCTACATTATTGAAGCTGCACTTCTAAGGACACCTAAAGCTGCCTTTATCCAGTTCAGTGTCAGCATCTTGGTGATGCTACTTTTCAGTACAGGATAGGTAAAATATGCTACCGAAGGGGGTAGTTAAGTGTTAAAGTTTAGTTTAGAGATGAGGTTAGGTTAGTATTAGGATCAGGGATTAATGGGTTAAGTTTAACCATTAGGATTAGTTAACTGTTGGGGTGAGATTAATAGATAACGGTTATTAAGTGTTAGGGTTAAAGTGAGGTTTAGGGCCATGTTTCCATGGTAAGAGTTTAATTAAGTGTTACGTTTTAAAAGGGAGTTTAAAAATTAAAAGTTCACTTTACAAGATGATTAAAATGTATCTCCATTAAAAAGTTACAAAACGACAACTCACCTTCTCCATGCTCCAGCGATGCCCTCAGAATCCTTCTTTACATTCAGCAGCTAGTCCCTTTCTAAGTTGAATGATTGCCAGAAAGCTGGGAAATGCCACTAATGATTTTCTTCTAGCCAAGGGATTACATAAGCAGCAAATATAGTTAATCTTCTTGAATGCAGGAATAATACCTGAAGCAGGAACTATGTTTAATGATTCTTATCCTACATACTGACCTCTTCATGGATGTGCTATCTTCTGAATTGTTTAAACTTCTTCCATGTCTAGGAAGTTGTAATTGTTCATTACTAATTTTCATATCATCTAGAACAGAAACATAGAAAACTTACAATAGAAAAACAAGTGGTCCTTTAAATCGTCCTTTTTCTAAAACATTTTGTGTATTCCAAGCAAGATTAAATTCACTTACTATCGACTGACTCTCTACTTCTTCATGAAGTATGTTGCAAGCATCCACTACTCTTTTGGTAAAATAATACTTTCTAAGGTTTGAGGTCATGCTTCAGTGTTATTAATTTCAGGTTCATAATGAAAATACTGCCTTACTGAGTCTTATGTGCACCCTTAAAATGTATGTAAAGATAAAACCCTGTTTCTTTCTTAGGGGGTTATTCACTAAAGAGCCGAAGGATCCAGCCGTAGCTTCGGCTGATCCTTTGGCTCTCTTCGGCTGCCTCTGCCCTTCGGTTCAGTCGAACCGAAGGGCTGCTGTACGGCCTATTCGAATTAGCCTGTACAGCGGCCGAGCAGCTCAGCCGAAGGACCAGCTGTTCTCCCCCGCAAATGACAGCTGGGCAGAGCCAGCCATCTTCTCACGGCTCGCATTGTCCAGTTGTAATGACAGATCAGCATCCCAAAAATGACCTGGAGACGCTGATCTGTCATTAAACAATAACAACTGGGCGGAGCTGGCCGTGATGTCATGACATCACGGCCAGCTCCGCCCAGTTGTTATTCATTGGCCAGGACCTGCTAGAAGACTCCGACAGGTGCCAGCCAATAGGAAACAGTTGGGTGGCAAGCTATTTTAAGGAAGAAAAACAAAAAAGAAAAACAATTGGGCGGAGCTAGCTGTCACTGAAATCAGCCGTACAGAGCCGGAGTGAATAGTCGAATTTCGTTCGGTTCTGTTCACTGCGGCTCAGTTATTCACTAGGCTGCCTTCGACAGATTTGTGAATAACCTTGTAAATTTTAGGGGAAGGGCAAGAGCTGAGAGAACATCTTTTAATTGGGACAATTGTTCTGGTGACAACTAAGATTGGTTTGCACGTCACTTTGGGGAGGTTTCCATTCACTTCCTGTTGTATCTACAAAGACAGAAAGTGAAGAGAAATTCCCCCCGCAGGACATAGACAGCAAAATACACTCTGATAAGGGTTTTAACCCTTCCCTTCTCTATAAAAAAACTAAAATGTATTTAAAGCATTCAGTTATGTACAGCTAAGAAAAACAGCAATCTTTATACATTCTTAAGCCTTTTCCCGGACACTTTTAAACCTGTTACCATGAGGCTACATATGCTAGCAGAGGTTGCCCTTTAAAGTTTGATAAAGCTTGGATCAAAGATGTTGGAGTCTCTTTAAGATGGGTGTATTTGACATACATATACTGCTTTGAATTGTGCTATTAGGTTATGCTAACTTCTGGACTACGCCTTCCCCGTGCATTGTTGAGGTATTTTTGGGAATTGGTTAGTGGGAGAAGGGTTTTGAGGATCTCTGGGTGTTTTCTTATGGTATTTTATCTAGTTTTTTTTACATGTATGACTGTTTTCTTAAAATTGAATAAATAGAATTAAGAAAAATCTGCTGTCATGACAAGTTTACTTTACTAAAACTGGTTTTAGAAACCTTACCATTTATGTATTAGCCTGCACTGATGAGTTAAATATTGTCCAGAACTGAAGGAGCATGGCAGAGTTTAAATGCATAGAAAAATAAATATATTTTTACAAAACCCTGACAATCAATTTTTAACATTGTGCATCACTGTATAAACATATTTGTTGTCGCTCCCAGTAAACTGATACACACCTTTTCATATATTTTAGTGCTGCATTTAGTACAGATAGTGTTCCAGTAAAAGTGTCAGAAAGCAGCATGCAGTACTAACATTTACTCATTTCAAGTACAGTGCTTGTCAGCAGAGGCAGTCTGTAATGTGTAAAATGTATGATTTGATACAATGTATGGGTTGCATTACTTATGCTGGAATCAGTGGGCTGGATTTTCACACATAGTTTTAACAGCGTACAGAATAAGATACCATGCTAAAACTGCATCTAATTTGTATACTTTGCACTTCCACCCACATTCATCTCTAGAAAACTACTCATTTGAATAAATTATAAAATAGTACTGTAGTTTAATTAAACTTAAGAAGTTTTATACATGACTAATACGGGGGAAGTCACTATTCTGAGGGAGACTCTGCATTGCAGTACAGTAATAGTTTACTCATCTATTTTATAAGAAGCCCATATGTCATAAAAACTGTCAAGTATGCATGGCGGATTTGATTACATTAAGTAAAGATTCCTGATCATGAGTTAGTTATTTTTATTTGAATTAACCTGCCCCTAGCTGTTGATCCTGAATGCATAATCTGAACTGGTAGATACGCAGCTCACAGATTGAGTTGAGTTTCTGTCTCAACATTTGCCCATCAGCTCAGAGCCTCCCTCCTTCTCCATATGTGATCAAGCATATTCTTTAATCATAAAAGCATGTGCTGTTCCGAAGGGGAAAACTTTACCTCTTACTGATAGTGTCAATGATTGCCCACCCCTTTCATCCACCCACACTCCTACTAGCAACAGAAGCAGACTGTGAATCAAGCAATTAATATATACATGTACAGCACAATGAGCTTTTACTCAGAGGGGAAAGGTCAGTGCAAAAAGTAAACCTTAGTGCCTGTTTCTACTTAATAAGTTCACATCTCAGGCCTGTGCTATGCCATGCACTAGCCAAATCCACAGTGGAGGAGAAGCTCTGAGACCCTCTAATTAGAGCTTACACCGGGCTGGGGGTTCTTTCCCTGCCCCTATGCGACAGTGCTGGGCCAATCACTGCCAGATGAGAGGGAGGTGATTGTGTCACGTGCTCCTTTATACCCAAAAGTACTGGGTATTTTCTTTGCTCGTTGACCGAGCAGCAGAGGAATAGGAGTGACAATGGATTAATGTGTATATGTTGCTGGGGATGGGTTAATTAAAGCAATTCTATTGCTTTGCCCTGCATGAACAGAGCACAGGCGTGCTTTATAGTAATCATGGCCAGTACAGAAAATGTCCTACATACCTTTGTAGCTGGCTATGTCTTGTCTAAACACCATGTACCTTTCTTAGGCTCATTTCAAATCAACTACCATTTTATTAAAACACAGCTGGACAGAACTTACAGATGTCTTAAAAGGAGGGGGGGTCACAGGTCATACTTTTTCCTTCCTTACTGCACACCCCTCAGTTTGTAGCAGATTTGAGTTTAATTTAACAGAATAAGATGAGAAGAAGAAATGTTTAACTAGAAACTACAGACATGGAAAGTAAAAGACCGGAAAAGGTGACATACTTGATTTTAAAGCATTCAACTCTTTTTCCAGGATAGCTAAAGTCTCTCTTTCATTTTCAACTTCAAACAGATGGTCATGTCTGTCTGCTGAGCCAATAGATTCTATCTCTAAGATCTCTAAAGCAGCCCTGGACATCGGTCTTTCTCTGGCAGTGCTGGGCCTTGAAAGGTTCAAAGGTCCAGATATTCTATGCAGAGAGTTGGCAGAAAAAGGTCTTCCAGTGCAATTTTCTGAAATGATAATAATATTAGGAAGAAATCATTAAAATGTTTTATTTGCTTTGTTTTTTCTGTATCTCCACATAAGACACTTATGGACATTTGCCCATTCTGTGGCATAGCCAGGCAATGCTAAACAGTAGCAGTGAGACAACGTGGGACAAACTTGAGACAGAGTAATGATAATTAGGAGGCTTTTTTTAATAAATTCTTCTCTGAGCTGCTCTCAAGAAGCACTGTGACATAATTAAACTTGTCCCTGACCATTTCTTAATTGTGCATCTGTTGTGAGTGAATGTCTGTCTTATTTCCAGTGGTAAATCTGTCACAGACCTGTGCAAATCTGTCTCGGTTGAGTACCCAGGATTACAGGCAAAGGGGTCACAAATACAGTACACATTAAACATTGTCGCATAGAATTTGCTAATTGACAGTAAGCCTAATTTGCATCGACATTTGTCATTAATTTTCTGAATAAATATCCTTAATAGATATATGCTGGTATTTGCTCTTTGAATATGTTTTTTTTTTTTATAAACAGGTAATACCTGGCATACAGATATAAATCACCAGTCTTTTGGGCCAGCCTCACAGTCACAAGAGGTTTCATTCTGCTCAGCATTTGGCATGAGGGGCAGGGATGTGAGAAAACCGGTTATATAGTTAGGCATCATTAACCCTGGAGGACTGGCTGTAAAGTTCTGAGACTAGAGGGGCATCCAGGAACCCAGACAACTGAGGCAGGCAAATTAAGTTGGAGGTAGAATGGTACTCAATAATGTTGAAGAGGTCAAAGAAGCAATGCAATCACATGGGAATGTGGGATTCTTAGTGCCAAGACGAGCAGGTAAGTACATTCTCTGTCAGTTCCATTAAATAAGGAAATACATTCTATAGGACTGTATAGCAGTGGTCCTCAAACGTAAGCTTATGGGTCAGACACAGCCCTCTACCTGCTTTTTCTAGCTCAGCACACCCTTTATGTAGAATGGCAGCAAGTTCCAGTCACTTGAACACAGGGTATTTTTTACTCTCACTAATCAATGACCCTGGGGCATATTTTACTTCTGCTGACCACTGATGCCATGGCCTTTTTGACTCATACGGATACTGGCCACAGTTTAACCCCCCCAACAGTATAGTGGACATGGAAGTGGCCTTTTGTTTAAAAAGTATGAGGACCCCTGATAAATTGCACAAATGCAGCCATTTTCTTATAAGGGACTACTATAATCTGCAGAGTAAACTCATCCAAATGGGATATATAGTTATCTGTTAATTCATTGAGATATCCATGTCAGTGCATAAAGTCTGTGCTCTTAAAACATCATCCTGCATGTGCAGGGTATGAACGAAGCATTGCAAACAAATGAAATGAATCCACCGATATCCACACATGTACAGTAATTATACAATCTAGGAAACAAATTTGTAACTTTTATTTCAGGCAGTCTGCCAGCTCAAAATATAAAGTAACATTATGCAACCTCCCTGAAAACCGTTATTCCGACTGAAGCTTTTTTTTCATTGCACTAAATAAAGTCAATAACTACATGTATGTGGTCTAATTTAGTTTACAACCATGGCAACCAACCAGCAATAATACAGAGGACAAAAAGGAAGGATATGTGATTTGTTACTATACTTCAAGAGAAATGCCCACTTATAGTAAATGATTTATTAGAAAAATATGATGAATGCTCTTTTCTGAGTTACTGACCTGGAAATAGTATGTAGTTCAGGAAAGTCAAAGTAAAGTCTGAAGTCCTTATCTACATACTGGTCTCTGGATTGAAACAGAGGTTAGAATGGGAGCAGAGAACTCATATTTTCAGAAAGAGAGGTTTGCATCAGCATCCGCCTTATTTCTCACATGACATTCTTCCTATACTTTCATGTAAGCGAGTAAGCCTTAATGAGGATGATATACAAAAATACACACATTTTTTTACACAAATGCAGAGGACCTGACCATCTAATAAGGAAAGGGAACATTACACATACAAGATTCTCTTCGTCTGCGTGTATGGTGCAAAATAGATCAAGAAGCCTGAGGAATGAGTTGTCTTCTCTGCACATTATTCCCAGTGCCCATAATAGTAAATGCTGAATGTCAGCTTCAGTGGATGAGATTACAGAATAGCTGTATTAGTTCTGGATTACATGTCACTGTACGGTAGACATGTTGGCTATTACACAACTAAGTCAGCATATCTCAAGGACACTAGAAGGAGATGTAAAATTCTCCATGGAGCTGAAAATAAGAATCATACAATTCTAAAGGAGATAAAGATATATATTATAAGCACGGCTTGTTTTAAGGCAAATTTAAATGTATACCTATTCTAACAAGGATTTTACTTGGTTAGATTAATGCAAAATAATGTGCATATAAAGACAGTGTAGATGTAATAAAAATCTTGCTAGTTGTCCTTTATTAACATATTCATATCAACTTTATGCACATATTTAGAAATTTTGTTAATATAACAATAATTACATGCACAAATATTTGCCTCCTACACAAAAGTATCCATTATAAATATAGTGCTGGAGAATGATGTTAGAACTATAGTTGACATCCGCATTAATTACATGGAAGAAGCAGCATGGTTAACACTGTCTGGAAACTGCCAAATGAGTAGAGTGGATGGTTTGCATCTCATTGTATAATTAGCTAAGGTTTGTTGACTTAGATGACTTGTATATACTTTTTTGGACCAAAATTCTACTAAAGTACAACTCAGAGGAAAAAATTAGAGCTCTGTAAGTGAATTGCAGTTTGGCATCAATGTGCAGGACATAAATAGGGATTGTGAAGAAGCATTGATTTGCAATACAGAATTTTCCATGACCCTTGTATTACTAAGTCATCTGGTGTTGTACTTCCTGCTTCCAACCTTTACTATTATAATAGTTCTCAACTTTGTCATGCCAGAAACCACTTAGTAAGCCTTTCAAGTTAGCAAGGCCAACCTTCAATATGGGGATCTTTTTCATGATATAATTGTGTAAAGCAGACCTTCATCCATACGATTTGGCCTTGAAGTGCAAATACTTACATTATTATTAATAATTAGCAAATATATTCCACTTCTGGACAAGGAGGGATCATGATAACAAGAGTAACTTAATATCAAGAGAGGTAGGGGGGTGGGGAGGCTAGATGGGGATCATAAATGCAACAAAGGTAACCTTTTCAGATACAAAAGAGAATGCATGCTCGGGTGCAGTACAGTGTAACCAGTATATGTTTTACAAAGCATAAAAGGATCCAGAGTATACAATGAGAGTATAGTGCACAGCAATTTGGCTCTGTATCTCTTTATGAAAGACGATGTTACTGAATGTCCATGGTGTGGGTCTCCTAACTTAAATCAATTCCTGGTACCTGGTTGATTATTATTATTAATTGAGCATAAATGTTTTTCTGAGCAATCTGATATGTTTTTAAAGTGACACTTTATGCAGGGCAAAGTCAAAGGGACACTTAGCCCCTCCCCCAGCAGCATGCTTACGGTTACCTGCCAATTGAAAATCTGTGGGTTAACCTGAAGAGGGCTGTGCACAGGAGATGCCCTCACAATCTGACAGATTTGGAGCGCTTTTACAAGGAAAAGTGGGCAAAGATTCCAAGGGCAAGATGTGCTATGCTCCTAGACTCCTACCCCAAAACACTGAATGCTATCATAAGATCAAAAGGTGCTTCAAAAAAGTATTAGTTTAAGGGTGTGCATATTATAGATTGCAAGTTTTTTTATTTTTTCTCCTTTTAAAGACTTCATTTTGTTTTCAATTGAATTGCACACAATAATTCTTTGATTATTTTATGTCTCAAAAACCTTGCAGTTTTCAGGGGTGTGTATACTTTTTATATTCACTGTACATAAAAGGTTCAATGTTATATATCGAGAAATGTGGGTATCACGGTTGTACTAAAGTACAGAAGTTTTTTTCAACTATCCTGGACCTACTCTTGTGCCACAAAATAGCTCCTTATTAGCCTAATTGTGTTACCTTTTTTGATGGTAAGAAAAAACAGACAGTGGAGAAAAGTAAAATAAAATATTTAAAGTGATGGTGCACAAAATAATGATGAAATACACAAAGAGAAAAAAAAGACAACAAATACAAAGCATGAAATAAACGTATCTTCCCTGCTGTGTTGTAGCCCTTGGTACAAGCAGAACATTGGTGCAAACATCGAAACAGAATAACTCCAATATTTGCTACATTGTTATCATTTATCCAGTACAGTGTTACAGATGATACTTTAAAACAACTTTCATTGCTTCTGGGACCATTACCAGAGGGACGGAGGATTGTGTATTATTCAGTATGCGGAAAGCAGGAGGAATATAAAACATTAGACATGGGGGAGAAGGATCATATAATTTAAAATGTCTGGGAGGAGGAGAAGAATTGAGAGCAGCTTAATACTCTGAGGACAGGAAATCAGTGACTGACACAGGGAATAAAAAAATACATCAGAATTATATTAACTTCATATTAACATGTGTAGGAAGTGATGGATGGTAAGTAAAATAGCAGTAATGAAGCTGAGCAGTAAAATGATCAAAGTTGAAACCTCTCTGGATAAGGCGATGAGGGGGTTATTGAGCTTTGAAAGAAGAGCTTTGTTTAGGACTGTATAGAAATGTAGAATTGCTACAACGCCATGTAAATAAAGTGTACTACTAATAATTTCATGTATTGTGGTATTTAAAAGAATTGAAATATGGCAAGAAGATACTTGTGATCCATTGGTAAAGTGATGTGTAAGTGTAGGTCCCCATTAGTTAATGGTTAGATGGTACATTGGGATCCCCAAATTGTTAAATATACAATTCATCGTATTCTAATGTGAGGCTCTATGTGATTATCTAGTTGTAAGAATGCAATTCTATAATATTGAAAGAAGGGAAAATACAAACTCATAGCAACTCATTTTCAGTCTTCCTATACTGAAAAATGGCCTGGATGGGAAGGGGGTTTAACACCGCGGATGTCAA